TGCGGGTTGAGATTCCACGAGGGGTGCGATGGATTCGGCGATGGAGGCCAAGCCGGTCGAGACAGCCTCGAGCCGCTCGTCAAGCGCCGTGAGGGAACTGTCAAGAACACCAGATGATGAAGCGCCGCCGCCGGACTGCGATCTGTGCCGGAGCTCTTGAATCTCTACACGTCTGGGTTAGTCGACGTTTCGACTACACAGCATTATACGCACGTACCGAATATACGCGTCTGTATGTCGGAGATGGTATACGACAGCTCCGTTAGGTGCGTAGAGATTGTCAGTATCTGCAGATCACTGCAACGAGGTCAGCATAAGTTTAAGCGCCCGTTGGGTCCATGCCATGCGCGCGCGCTCAACCGTGAGGCACAACTGTCCCAGCATGGCAATCGAGACGCAGAAAGCATCCGTGACAACGTGTTCAACACGCAAGTTCGCAATACGCGGAACCGAGCACATGAGGTGCACGACAGGCAATGTGCTAGCTCAAAGCAGTATACCCTGTCATTGAAGCAGTGACGGCTACAAGACGCGTGCCATGGAAGCATGCGGCGGTTTGCGAGAAGCTGTGGCCCATTTCGCATCGAACCACCGACCGCCGTGTCGATGATAGTGCAGCCGACCCGCCCGCCTTCACGATAACAAAAGGAGATCAGGAGCGAATACTCACTCGATGCTCTGCCTTCCCTCCCCGAACTCGCTGACCGAGCCCACCTTGCTCGCTCGATCTGCTGAGAGTGCATTGCTAGGTTTAGCCGTAATTGTGGCATCCTCTGTTATTTTGTCAGGGTGATGGTGACAATAACTTCAGAGTCTTATCGCACCTTGGTCCGCGCGGTTGAGCGAAATATTAGAAGATGAGCTGCTCGCCGAGCCGGTGGAGAAGGCCGGCGAATGGGGGGAGACTGGGAAGCCGCCGGCGCTGAGGGCGCGAGAACTGGTAGAGTGGAAGCTGCTTCTTGAAGATGTTAAGTCGAGTCGTTGAGGTGCAAGGTCGGCGGATGACATGAGGGGAGGAGACAAGGCGGTATGAATAAAGAACGGAAGGGTGTGAGGACCCGCCGGAGTTGTGCGACGGGCAGACGGACGCGGGCGAACGCTGCGAACGGCCTGGCGGCTATTGAATCGGGGTATACACCACCGGCCGACAACGCGACGGATCCTCTCTGGGGGTCGACGCGTGCGTTGAGCAGAGGTCGATCGTGGATACGGGGCAAGTTCAAGTCTGCCTCGGCCCGCCGCGTGTGTTGTTAATTATTCCTTGTCTCTTCCCACCATCACGCATTTCGTCAACCATGTCATTGTGGACCGCAAGGGACGGCATGTGCTACACAACGTACGGTACATCTGTGGTACATAGACAGTACATTTACAATCTTGGAAAATGACGTTGGCTTTGCATCTGTCAAAATAACGACGGCGTTCTTATCGATAGCTTTATGAGCGAAAGGCACTGTTTCAGGGCTACCGTTGACCGTACTCCGCCGCTGGCATGCTGTTCACAACCATTCCGAATATCCTCAACTGCCGCTGTGCATGTACAAGTTCTTCAACTTCGCAGGCCAGGATGCGCTGCGCGAATAACTGCTCCGCCTGCTTGCCTTCTGTCCACCATTATCCTCGAGCTTATTGGTCGAGCACCCTGCTCTTGAGTTAAGAATCACCGAAACAGAAGGTCGGGAACGTTGATTGATGCGCAAATGGCCGTACGAATCACATCGGCGCTCATCCTCCAACAGTCCCTCCCTCCCCGACCAGCATAACAACTCTCGTGTGTCACTTGAGCGCGATGGGCTTCGGAGTTAGAGTTCGGTCATTCGGGTCAATGCCCGAACAAGATGCGCACCAGCATCTAGTGCTCGGCTTCTCGTCTGGGAAACAGAATGGTGACGAGCGCGTGTTGACGGTGATTATGGTGCCAGCCGGTATGGCTGCCAGAGCTCGAAGCACAAAGGCATGGCTATCTGGCACTGGGCATACCTGGCGGGATGCGTCCTCAGTCATCCGAGCGAGCACAGAACCTAGGGAAAGCGAACCTCGGCATTGGGCTTACAGTCGTGGTGGGCAAGGCGTAACGGGCCAGAGACGGCACGCGCACCAATGGCACCTAGTTGAGATGGGTGGCGGCGTACAGTTGGTACACCTTCTAGGTCTACACAATTTGATGATACGGAGCCACAGGTGTTGAACAGATATGTTCCAGACGGGATGAGCTGACGAGATTTGAGTCCATAGGTCAGACGTACAACACCGAGCGATACGCGTCGGGTGATAGTGGGGCGGACAGGGGCACCAGGAGTAAAGAATATGGCATATCGGCGTAGCAAACTACAAGTCAGCGTGTAAGTACTTCTCTGCACATAATCATCACCGTCGCACGCACTGAATGAGGGTTTTTATCCACTGCTGGCGCAAGTCTGTCCAGCCTTCTTTCAGCTGGAAGGCCGGTATGTCGAGTAACAACTGAGCAACAGTCTGTATACTCTGTGTAGTTTGCGTGCCTTCCCTTTTGTGTATGACATTCGTGGCTTCAATCCTTTCCTTCAGAGAAGTGATAGATAGGCGATCATGTAGTGGCCAACAAGGCGTAACGACCGGCATGCGTCCGCCGACGAGTGAGGAGCCCTTGTTTTGAAGTAGACAGTGGGAAAGAAGGTCGTCTGCGCGTGACAACAAACCGAAGGGAAAGGTTTGCGCGTTTAACTCGTCGATAGTCGCGTGTAAAAGTCCCGCCTGTGAAGGGCCATTCAACGCGAGCTTCTTCCTCGGTGTCCAGGAGCTCCAGTCGAAGGGCTCAGGCTCGCGTTTTCGTTTCAAGGAGTCTACTGAGCTTCCGGATGTAGAGGGGACTAAGCTGGCTGTAGAACTGAAAGACATCGTGGCTGGGTCGTGGCTGCCGCGAGCAAGCCTCGCAGTTTACGCGCCGACATGTAGGTCGACGCGATAACGTGACCGTGTTCCCTCGCCTCAGGCTCGCCTCGGCTACGTGGCGCAGTCACCAGGTCGTTTTGGCTCTCGACTGTCATGTCTCGCAGCACAATCAAAAACTGTACTATCCGCATCTACACAGCCCTGATGGATTCAGACAACACTTTTGGAGATGTTCGTGTCCAATGCTGCGCGGCGTGTGGCATCAAGGAGCGTCTCGAGCTGGCACTTTGTGAGGCGACCTGCGCATTGCTCTCTACAGAGTATTGCTTCATCTACTTCTAGTCCGCCGACGTCGCGCAGGATATTGAGCTGCTGAGATTCCGGTGAATACTAAGGCAATGGCTTGGGGAACGGTATTCGAGCGAGATGGCTTCCCGTGTGTAAGCTTTGCTATATTCACAGCAGGAAGAGAGCCAGAAAAGGCTTATCGAATTAAGCTCGTGCTTAAATATACATGAGCAAGGAAACAAGTCTCTAAGTCAACGAACAATGAACAAGCAGTTTGGCCGCAAGGCGATCACGTAAAGGTATGGTCACAGTGCCCTTCCGTCGTCCGAGAATTGGAAATGCGTACGTCAAAAACATAGGACGACTATCGTATTCAGAATATACCATTGCAGCCGACATGACCATCCGGCAAGGACGGCACAGCCGCATCACCCGTTGGCGTCCCTGCGCTTTCATTGCCCAGCACCTCCAGCGCCCTATTCTTCATTCTGTTCCTAGGTTTATGGGCTGGCTCTCCGCGGTCCCTACGATTCTGCTTCTTCCGCTGCCTGTGTAGCCTTCCCCTCATTTGATTGAGTAAGCCAATCTCCGTCGCTCGCTCGTCCGATACCGGCTTCAGCACAGAGGAATGTAGGAGACGGCCACGATCATCGTCAGTGAGCAAATGCGTGCATGTCGAGCACCAACAAGTAGATGCGGTTGCAGTATAAACAAAGGGAGATGAACGCGTGTCTACGGTCAAGTCGGAACCTTCCGCTATGTCGGTCAGGGCTCGCAGCACGACGGCTGAGCTATCCTGGATTATAAAGACCTGCAAAAGTCGAAGACGCATGAATGTCAGCACGGCGCGGGTCAAACATGCTCGTTGAAACGTACATCAGTGTTAGGTTTGCAGTCGTGCCTGACGAGACGTAGAGGACCAATGATGGCATGTGTTTTATCAGGACCAGACTGCTCATTTCCGCTTTTCATGGTATAATCGCACTCAAAATCAATGATGTTCGCCGACAAAGAGCTACAGGTATCCATGATCAAGGTGCCGGCCAGTATGTTTTGCGAGGCTTTCAGTCCGAGAGTAAGGTGAATAGACCCAAGAAGCATTACTTGTGTGACCGCTATCTTCGCTAGGCCGTCTTTTAGCATCATTATTGCATATCGAAGGACCATGCTGCATCAAAACGTTAGACTGGGCATCAGTCAAAAAGAAAGAAAGACGTACTGGACGAGAGCATTCTTCCACAACGGGTGTTTCTCCTGGAGCCTATCTCTTGCGAGTGAGAAGGAGGACAGCCCTATGACACGCTCCACCGCCTTCACCGCGTTCTCGCGACTCGGTTCTACCTTTCCAGTTATGAGTTCCTCGAGCGCCTCGTACACGCGTGCCGTATCATCGAAAGTAGCTATCTTGCGCAGCCCTACGGCGTGTGGAGGCCACAAAGGGCGAGTGCCGACTTCCGCGCGACCGGTAAAGTATGGTTTGAATGCGCGAGGAGAAAATACGCAGTGCGAGACCAGATCACTCGCGCGAGCGAAGATGCCGAAGGGGTAAGATTCTTGATTTAACTCTTCAGTAAGCCGTCGCGCGAGACCAAGCGGTGTACTGCCAGCTGCCGTGGCAGGATCACGTTCAGAGAGAGAGCGTTGAGTAGAAGCAGACCCGTCCATGGCGTCCGGGCAGGCTGCTTTGCGGTCAGGAAAGGTGGTCGTCAGGAGCAAATCGCGTCGACGCGACAACATGAGTAGGCGCGCGTTACGCGCGTGATCGCGTTGAAATTGCTCAAGAGCAGCTTGCGTAGTGTACTGACAGCTGGACAGGGTAATAGATATTATAATATTCAGGCGGTCCTGTAGTGTAGTGGTTATCACAGCGGATTCTGACAGAGGGTCTGAAGACGAGTTTTCCGCTAACCCAGGTTCGAGTCCTGGCAGGACCTTGTACGGTCTATGTAAGATATTTTTAAATCATCTTACTTTCAACCGCAGTATGCACGTCTATTCGACGTTCAGACTGTAACGATCCACAGTTACTGGTGACCACAGCGTATGCATTCAACACCTCAAAACCAGTCAAGCAGCGAACTTCAATACTACTGTACAATACACCTAAGCAAGTAAGCAAGTAACAAGAAAGCGACGCAAAGATCCACGACTCTGCCATTACAAGAACGCATCCAGATCGACATCCATCCCGTCCCCATTGCCAAACATCGACGCCAGCCCCTCCCGCATTGCATCATCCGTCGGCGGCGTGGCCGTCCACGTTCCTTCACGCTGCATCCCATCGCCCCCACCATTCACCTCCTGAACCCCATTCATCCCATTCGCCTTCCTCGCCCAAGATCCCTTCAACAGCTCAACAGCTCTCGCTTCCGCCCTTTCGATCGCCTTCTTCCTTCCCACAATCATCCTCGTAGGACTCATCGCGCAATTATAACCCGGCGATATTCCTTCGAGCGCCAACACCGCTTCGCTCTCTGCAGGAGGCATTTCGTCCGGTCGATGAATCGCTGCATCTATGATCATTTGTCGGATGTTGAATAGTAAAGGGTGCTGTAAGATGCCAGGGTAGTATCGCCCGCCGAGGAGATCGAGGGAGACTGAGGCTTCGTGACCCGCTTCTAGCAGTAGAGGGCGGAAGGCGAAGGGAGGCGGAGCGGGTGGTAGCTGCTCTTCGACGTTTGCAGGACCGGAAAGTCCGCCGATGTCTGTACGTGGCGGCACGCCATTCGTGTTCGCGGAAGGGGCACCGAGAGCATCCAGCATCGCGGGTACCGTCTGGTCAATCGGTACTGTGGGATCTGGGTTCGGGAATGTAACATCCGTGGGCGGTGCAGGCGCAACGTCGCTCGTAGGCCTCATAGCAACATCCTCACGTTCTTTGCCCTTCGCGCTCCCGTTTCCACTCGCGTTAACGTCGAGCCCCTCGACGCCCCGTGCGGCCTCATCGACCTGACGTTCATGTGCCCTCTTCGCAGCGTCGGTCATCTTCCTCTGCACCTCATCCCCTTCCTCCTGCGGTATTTGCGTAGATAAACATGCAGGATCCTCCGCTACCTCGAAGAGCTCCCCCGAGGCACAAATCTCAGTGTGAACCTGACCGTCGAGCGTTCGCATTTCGACGGGTTTGAGGCTCTTGAGATGCATGAACACGCCACGATCGCCCGCGCCTACTTCCTGTTTAGCACAGAAAATGCAATCAACATGTCATCCTTTTACAACAGAGATAACGAAAGATTTATACCTCTTCACGATCCTCGACCTTGAACGGGTCACGCAGCATAGGTCCCTGCAATTGCTTTCTCGGCATCTTGAGCTGCACAAGATCACCGACCCAGATACGCTCAGGACCCCACCACAAGCCCTGATACCTCGTTTCCGGCTCCTCTTGATTGTCCGCATTCAACGTCTCCGCATTCCACTCGTCCGTCACGGACCAAAGGGCAGCAAGCTCGGCCGCCGCCTCGAGCGCCACGCTGTATGGCGCAGCCGCGTGCACAAATGCCGTCTCGATATCTTGTTGTGACGGCTGCTCAAGCATGGTGGCTGGTGGACAGTATTCGCGCTTGTAGTCGAGTCTGTCCGTGGGGATTTCGCTCAGGATGGAGAGTAAAGATGCGGGTGGCGCCCATGCGGGGTAAGGCAGCACACAATCGTCGAGTACCCTGATTTGCGCGTCGATGGCGAGCAACTGAGCGCTGTATCGCGTACGGTGGAAACTTCGATACTGGTTCCCCACTTGGCCCTCGCCAGCGTAATGGTGTCCAGCGGCCACACGTGGGCGGCCAGCTTCTATTCGCGCCAACTCTTCAGCGTCTATCATGCCGGATGGAGGCTGTTCGTAGTCCTCGCGGGCTACGAATTCCTGGATCGTTCCCCACTCGCGAATGATCGCAGGCCACATAGTGATGGACGTAGCGTTGTCCCCGGGCAATGCAGCGCGAATGGGAACTGCGAGCATGCACCATACGAGTTCGCCCTGTCTGTGGAAGCGCCGAGTCCTACGCTCGGGTCCGAGGCGCATTGCAGCGGAGATAAGATCGGAGATGCGCTCGTTCGGTACGGTTTCCTTTGGCGGCTCGAGCTGTGCCGTGCGCTGACTCTCCTGCACCGTCTCGCGTTTGCGCTTCTTGGCCGTCTGCACATTTTCGGTCTGCGCTTTGAGCGCCTTGGTGCGCTGTACGGCCGCATACGGCTGATGATTCCGGTTCCGGCGTTTCGAGGATTGGGAGGCTGTGGGCGCTGCGGATCCGCGGAAGGCTTGGGAGGGGAAGCCGTATTGTTGAGAGACGGCAGATTGTTGGCGTTTGGAGCAGTATTTGCAGTTGCAGTTGGATCGATCCATCGTAGGGTCGGTCATAAGCCATAACGCGTGCGGGACAATTTCTGGGATTGAACGGAAGCGACTAACAGTCGTGCAGCCTATAAACACATTGTAGTGAATGTTATATGGTATGGCGTTTTGAATATACCAATGACATAGTTGTCGTGCCGTGGTGAGGCCTTGGCACCCTTGTGATGATCGAAGAATCTGTAGCCGTCTGGCCAGCTCGCAAATGCATATTGCTTGCCCTCTAAGGACACATTGTCAGTCATTCGCCACAACCGAGATATGAGAATATCTTACTAGGCATGTCCATCATCTCAGCAACCTTCTGACCAACTCCATGAAGCCACTTGAGAGACATGCCCTGCTGTTCTGGGATCGGCTTATAAAAGTTCACGCTCCCGTCCTCGTCCTCGACTTCTTCCTGATTGGGCGGCCAGTGCACCGAGTCGCCGTCGGTGCGCGGGAAGTGCAGTAGCTCGCATCCCGGTGGGAGAGAGTATTCGATCATAGCCTTAGAGCTATGCTTCGACATTGTTGAAGGAATATCGCAGGAGGTTATGAGGAGGGTGCGCGTATCATGAGCTCATGGAAGGACTTGGAGAGTCGCGCGCTGAGACCGGCGGGCTAGTACAGGCGGATCAACTCACGCGCACGTACCGCACGACACGTGGAAATAAGCACCCACAAAACGAGCTTTTTTCGTCTTGCTCTCGACCGTCGTGTCTGTTGTCTCCTCGGTTTGCTCAATCCATATTCTTTTGCTCACAGAAGCCTTTCACGGTCTTCCCGAACCTTATTGATCGACTGCGCTCACCCTGTCATCTTCCTTACGCCGTGATATATCTACACCCAGTTCAGCGTTTCCACTGCCTGGGTGTTAAACTACGCGGCAATACGACCTACGTTGGGCCATGCAGATCGTCCACCTATTTTATCAACCGTTGGGTGGACGTTTTGATTGGACCGTACATATTCTCTTCTCGATGCTATCCTTCTCAGTATCTTCTTCGTTCAACTTTACCGGGAATTCTTCTTCCATACCCATACCCATGCCCACTACGTACACCTAGTTGTCGTATCCGTTAGTAGTTAGACAGAAATGGCTATGACAATGAAAATGGTACTGCCTGTCTTATGAGAGTCCCATTGGCGAGCGTAGTGGCAGCCTGGCCTGGCATGACTGGCGTGTCGCGTGATGTCGCTGAACCCTCGTCGAACATTTTCGACGAATGAACTGTCTGTGTCACTGTGTATACTGACATCAGCGCGGTATACTCGTGCACTTGCGCTTGCAGACAACAAGGTAGCTTGTGATACAATATTGCTCGTTCAAAGGTGAAACTACCGACGCAAACATACTGCTTTCTATTGGGCCACCCTCTATTGATGCAGATCGCCATGGAGAGACGAGCGGCTTCATCGACATCGATGATATGCCTCGTGGGCTCCTTAAAGCGGCGGCTGCGACTGACGGATGGCGTGGCAAACAAACCTATGATTCGCCAAAGTAAACGCGACAGCAATCGTCTAGGACAGCCTCATGCTTGTCTTGGCTGCCATAAGCTGTCCAGACTCGTGTGTGGATAGAGATTATTGATGAAGGCGAGAAGCAGAACTTCAAGCACGCTGCACGCTGCTGAATGTGAGAAGTTTCTCAACAGGCACTTTCTTCGTGGTGAAGGATGTCTCGAAGAGAACATGGTCACTCGCGTGTATTCGTCAAATATCTAGCCCTTCGAGGGTTATACAGGAGATGAGCATACTGCACGACAACACCACCACCGCTCGCGGGTACTCGCCATACACGCCCGTGATCTAAACCGTGTTCGGATGACATATATCCGGAAGTGCCGACCCGCTTGCCAGCTAACCAAGGAGCGACATGCGGATATAGAAGCCAGCACAAACGAGAACGATGTAGCCGTGGTGACAAACGCCCGGGCACTGGGTTGCGGTGCGAGGGCGTAATAAAGACACGGCTGTGTATATGTAGTAAGAGGGACGGTTCACGCGAGCGGAGAGCACGACCATCATATCATCATGATTCATTGAACGACTCCGCCAGTCCACCTCTGTGCACGAGTAGCAGCAGCGTACGATGCTCAGCAGAAAAGGCCAACATATTGTCTGGCACCACTCTTGAAGCTTGAAGCTTGAAGCCCAACGGCCGCCGATCACCGGCTAGACGCGGCCTAGGTGCGCACATCAACATCACGCACCTCCTCCCGCCACACAACATGAAGCACCCTGGTCGCACTGAGCACACATAGAGAGTGAGCAGTCTATTGGTTCTCGAATTGCGCGCTGGTGAATGGAAATGCAAGTGGATGATACATAGCGAACCCCTCCTACGCCTGCGCCTGCTTCTCGCGCTCGAGCTTGAGGTAGAACTCCTCCTGGCGGCGGACTGTAATAGTGAATCAGTTGACAGCTCTGAACCAAAGTAAATAAAGTGGAGGGAAGGCTCACGGGCAGGGATGTGGTAGCCGTACCTACACGCACACGAAGTCAGCAACACGTTCAACAGGGCTTCAGGGCTCATAAAAACGCACCACCAAGCGTAAGCAGCGCTAGTTCCAAGTCCAAGGGACATGGTAACGTCAAGCC